TGTGTGTGTGTGTGTGTGTGTGTGTGTGTGTGTGTGTGTTTGTGTGTGTGTGTGAGAGAGAGGAGAGAGAGAGAGAGAGAGAGAGAGAAAGGGGGTGGGGAGTAGGTTCATGCATGCCATGACAATCATGTGGAGCTCAGGACAATAGGACAATATTTGGGAGCTGGTTTTGGCCTAGCACTGTTGAGGCAGGGTCTCTCTTATCTGTTTTTTTTGCTGGGTTCTCTAGGCTAGCTGGCCTGTGGGTTTCTAAGTGACTCTCCTGTCTTCACCTCCTATGTTGCCACAGGAGTGCTTTGGTTACAGATGCTTGCCACCCCATGCAGCCTTTTCTTAAACTTGGATTCTGGCTCAAGCATGGCCACTGCTCTCAATGATGAGCCGTCTTGTAGGCCCACACTCTCACTTACTGTGCATCAGTTTTCATTTACTTGAGTACAAAGGCCTTTGACACTCACGAATCTACAAAAAATAATTTATTAATAAAGGGTAGCAGTTCACTCTGTGGTTTCAGCATCGGCTGCTTCGCTCTCTTCTGCATCGGTGGTCGACACTCGGGTCTGGATCACCACCACTTCTTCCTTGCCCTCCCTGCAAGAGCAAGGCCGAGGCTTTCACACCCTGACACCAGCAACCTGCCCACAGCTCCTCATCTGTGCTAACACTTACCTTGGTACGTTCTTATTGAAAATCTCCTCCTCTCCAGAGGACTCCTTGTCCTGTAGATCCTGAGCCATGTTTTTCTTGCGTGTGTCATGCAGCGGCCTATACATATCCCTAAGCCATAGTGGCCACCTTAGCCAGAAAAATCCTTCCTAGGAAACAGAAGGGGAGACATTAGTTCTGCTAACCCCTGCCTTCTCCAGGCACAGCACCGAGTCTCAGGCTTACCTGACTCTCACTGTCCTTGTAGGATTTCTTACCCCTTGGAAGAAAACACATGCAGAAGACAGTTAGTGATTGTGTCATTTGTGTGTGTGCGTGTGCGTGTGCGTGTGTGTGTGTGTGTGTGTGTGTGTGTGTGTGTGTGTGTGTGTGTGTGTGTGTAGGGGATATCTTGGCTCTCCCAATAACAAAAAGCACCCCAGCACTGGGACTTGAGAACAATTCTATGCATGTCTGGCTTCTAGGAACTTTCCAAGTCTGTTCTAAGGGCCCCACAATGCCTCTGGGCAGATCTTTGGATGTGGCTTGTCCTGGAGCATAGCCAAGGCACCAGCATGACAATAGCTCCACTTATCCTTTTCAACAAACTTATCACTTTAAAGAAGCCACCCTGGGCAGAAGCTTTTTGCTCTCCAGAGCCTCTCCCATGAGTGCCCTTCAGACCAACTCTCCCATGCAGACTTGCTGAGGTGGGAGACGCTCCTGCGTGCCTAGCTGCTTTATCTTCCAAGTGCAATGCCCAAGTCCACAGCACAGCTGACAGGCTCACAGAATTTCACCCTGCAGACTGCCTCTGATGAGTGGGTCATGAGAACAGTTTAAAGGTCATGGCTAGTTGGGCATAATGGATCATACCTATGATTCCAGTCCTTGGGAGGCTGAAACAAGACTTTGAGGCCAGCCTTGGCTACATAGTGAGTTCCCGATGCTACCAACAGCAGAACAGGCACAGCCTAACCTTCTTTCCCTAAAGAAATGGTGGTACTTGGCACCCTCCTTGCTAGGCCTGGGTATATCTGCCTCTTTGGCGAGCCAGGCAAGACATTAGGGGAAATCATGTTCTTCCTGAGGTTCCCCAATGAGGCTCCGCTCCCTGCTAGCTCTTAGGTTCTCCTTGAATGATTGCTAATCTTGTATTTACCTTGTGGACTTTTCTTCATCTCCCTCTCTTGTTGCTCTGTGAGAATAAACCTGTTTTGGAAGCAAATACAATCATGATTATCACAGTGACTGCTGTCTCCAATTTCTAGCCATTCCTTTTACTTTGTTAACATGTGCCCTGCTAGTCTTTCCTAATCCCTCAGTTAGGGGCTCCCATGTAGCTGGCACAAAGTACAGTGTATTGACTGTTTTACATGAAACTCACCAAGTCCTAATAAAAACTCCTAAAAGTCAAATATCTTTAACTTCACCAAAGTATCTACCAGAAGAGCAAGAGCAGAACACACCTTTTACCACAGCTACAAAGCACATGTCTTTTGGTGAGGTCCTGAAATGTGATAAGGAAAATAAACATTTCCTCAAAAAAATATTGGGGAGAAAGGAGCCAAACTATTACTGTTAGTATCTGAAACAATGAACAACCAAAAAGTTCAAGACAATTAACATCTCATTAGAGTAAGAGGATTCAATACTGTTGGCTAGTCACAAACTAGAAGAGATAAGGGTCCCGAGCCCAGTGGATTCTTATGTACCTTCAAGACAAAGTAGAAACTGCAAGATGCTGTTTATGATGGCAATGAGGTGGACAGTGTCTCGGAATAAATATAACTTAGAGTGAGTGAATTCTTTGATGAAAACCTTGTAATTCTTCTGGAGAACATTATGAGAAATGACAAGCCAGCCTAGGCCACAGAGTGAGTTTCTGTCTGAAAACAAAAACCAAACTGAAACAAGAGTGAATGCTCAGAGGCAGGCGCAGGTCAGTGGTGGAGGGCAGGCCCAGGTTTAGTCCCCAAGAGAAGAGGAAGGAGGAGGAAGAGGAGGGGGCGGCAGTGAAGGTGAGGAATCAACTGTCAAATGAAGGACAACTGTAAATGCCATGCTTTCTGTTAAATCTCGTCTTTCCTACTTCCGTGTGTGTGCTCACGTGTGTGCTGTGTGCTTATGTGTAGTGAATGTGCATGTGTGCGTGTGCATATGCTTATGGAGGCTGGAGACTGACGTCAGACATCAGCTAGCTCTTGCCTCTCATTCCCGATTCAGGGCTAATCAAATCCAGGGCTCACTGATAGGACTAGCCTCACTGCACAGCTTGCACTTGGGCAATACTATATCTGCCTTTGGGAGTGGGAATTACTGGTGGCTGCCACGCCACCATGCCTGGCTGGAATTTCCCTAGGTCCTGAGAATTTTAACTCTCAAGTCTGATCTTCATGTTTGTGTGGAAAGTGCTTCAACCTCTGAGTATCTCTCCAGTCTCAACATTTCCTCCCTCCCCCTCCCTCCCTCCCTCCTCCGTCCCTCCGTTCCTCCCCCTTTCCATCCTTCCTTTCTTTCTTCCTTCTGCCCTCCCTCCTTCCCTCCCTCCCTCCCTTTCTTTTTCTTTCTTTTTTCTCTTTCTTTCTTTCTTTCTTTCTTTCTTTCTTTCTTTCTTTCTTTCTTTCTTTCTTTCTTTCAACAAAATAAGACCAGCTGACACTTGGTAGGGAAACTTTCAAAAACAGTTACACAATGCATGGAAAAACAGATCAGAGACCAGGAGCTTGCCCTACCAAGGCAACAGGAGTTATTCAGTAATGGGGGGGGGGGGTTCAGTTACTGAACAAAGCAACTCTGATTAGCAGTGTGATTCTTGTCCTGGCACAGGAACAATAGCAGGATCAATAAATGTCCAGACATAGATGTATCTTAGACCAGTGATGAAAGAGCCAATCATTCAATAAAAATTATTTCAAATCTAGATATTCTTGTCATGGAGGGATATTCCCTGACTCAGCCATACCCCTCAAAAATAAAATAAATTCTAGATGGGTTAAATATATATATAAATAAGAGAGGCTGGAGAGATGGCTCAGCACTAAGGAGCACTGACTTCCCTTCCAGAAGTCCTGTGGAATATTCCTATACACTGTGTGAATATGTGTTGCTGTGATTAATAAAGAAGCTGAGTGGCCAATAGATGAACAGAATAAGGTTAGGTGGGAGAGCCAAAGTGAGAATGTGGAAAGGAGAAGGGTGGAGTCAGAGGAGTCACCAGCAGGTGCAGAGAGAAGCAAGATGGGCATGCAGTGCTGAGAAAAGGTACCCAGCCATGTGGCAGAGCATAGATAAGAAATATGGTTAATTTAAATGCAAGAGTTAGCTAGTAAGAAGCCTGAGCTATTGACTGAGCATTTGTAATTAATAGTAAGTCTCCGTGTCGGTTATTTGGGGGAACTGGTGGGTGGGAAAGAAATATCCGCCAACAAATGGTACCCAAACTTTATGCAACTACATCCATAAAACCTGAGAGAGCTTGGAAAAGGGTTCTAGACACACAGAAACAGAGCCAGGAGCAGCTTCCTAGTCTCATGTCTCTCATACTGGCCTATGGTACAGGGACGTGTCACCTGACCACAGCCTGTGAGCTTGAGCAGCCAGTGCACTATGAGCTAAGCCACATGGCAGGTTCCCACAATCTGTCACGCTGGCTGCTGTACAGAAAAGCATCTCCTGGCAGCTGCCTGCAAGAGGGAGCCAACTACCAAAACAGAGGTGGAGGGCCAAGCCACACCGCTTAGCAGTCTAAAGGCTCAAAGACCTAGGTTCAATTCCCAGGGCCCACATGGTGGCTCATAACTGTCACTTCAGTTTCAGAGGATCCAGTACTCTTTTGGCTTCCATAGACACCAGGCACAAATATGCTGTACAGACATGCATACAGGCAAAATACCCAGTGTACACACACACACACACACACACACACACACACACACACACACACACACACACGCGTGCGCGCGCTATCTCAAACACACACATATAATGGATATATATATATATATATATATATATATATATATGAATGTTATTTATATATAGTGGTTAATATGTATATATCTGCTAAGGTGCTGGATATGGTGGCACATGTCTCTGATTCTGAGGCAGGAAGATCAGGAGTTGAAGGCCAGCCTCAGGTACATAGTGAATTCCAGGTCATTCTGGCTATAGGAGACCCTGTCTCAAGCTCCTTCTCTTCTGGGGTGGGGGAAACATGTACAAACGACAAAATAGTGCTAGGAAAGTGCTAGAAAGCAGTACTAGAACGTGCCTGGATTCCCTGAGGTGGCAAAGCCTCTATAATGAGAGCATGACTCATACAGAAGGAGGCACAGGCTGGTAGATGAGTGTGGCTTTCTCTAGACACTTTCCTTCTCCACTGGGTGGTCTTTCCATGCAATGTATCAATGCTTTGGGTGGTTTCATTTTACTCCCACACTCCCAATACTTCCTGTTGGTCTCTAAGAAGGTGAAACCGACCAGTGGTGTGTGTGAAGGGTCGGGTACAGGCTTCAGGATCGGGGAACAGGGCACTGTACTATTGGTTTGGCCACTGGGCCTTAAGTTGCTCTTTCATCCTAGGAGAGGCTTGATAAGCTCTACCTTCCCTGAAGGAGTCTGTGATTCGATCAGACAGTGAATGGAGAACTCGGTCCTGTGCTTGGTAGACACAGTGCTGACACTCCTAAGGATGCCAAAGACAGTGTGAAGACCCACCCAAGGCTTCTGCCTCTGCAGCTGGGACTAGACAGCTCTGTACCTCTACACGTTTATTTTTAGAACTACTTCTATTTTCTCTATCATCATTTCTTTAAGGTAAAACGTAGTAAGCTTTCATTACTTGACAACAAAACAGACAGTTGTTCTGTTATTATTTATTCATTTTTCACCACTGACTAACCTATTAAAGGGTGACATTTCAAAAGTCTTAGTGTTGGCTGGTGAGATGGCTCAGAGGTTAAGAGCACTGACTGCTCTTCCAGAGGTCCCAAGTTCAATTCCCAGCAACCAAATGGTGACTCACAACCATCTGTAATGAGATCTGGTGCCCTCTTCTGGACTGCATTCACACATGCAGACAGGACACTGTATACATAATAAATAAGTAAATCTTTGGGGTTGGGAATTTAGCTCAGTGGTAGAGCGCTTGCCTAACAAGCACAAGGCCTTGGGTTCAGTCCTCAGTTCTGGAAAAAAAAAAAAGACAAAATAACAATCCAAAGTCTTAGTGTCTAGGAATGCAGCATATGCTCAGCATGCACAGGCTATATATATATATATAGTCTCCAGACCCCGGTCCCTG